TAACAGGAAAACAGAACAAACTGAGGTGAACACGACTCATACGAGCAGCATTTTGGCTTCATTTTCACCTGAAATAACATGAATGTTGTTCACTGATAACTAACATACGTACCATGAACACATTCTGCCTCGTCAGTGCAGAAAAAGCAAAAGTACGTCTGTGGCGTTCACTGAACCGTTAATAAAAAATGAGTTAATAAATGTTTGTCTTTTTGTTCAAAGTGTTCAGTAACAGAGAAATGGAAAAGCTTCTGAAGCCCGACACAGTTAAACAACAAAGTGCAGTTAAATCGTCCATAAAAGTCGGATTTATTTCAGTTTGGCTGCATTTTCCCATTTTTAAAACCCAGTAAATGTCAGTCTTCTGTGCAGTTTGTTGATATTTCTTTTTTTAAAAATGACTATTTTTCAACCATTTTATCAATCTGCGATTTTGATCACGATTTAACGAGTTTGAGGACTTTTTAAATCGTAAACTCTGACTGTGGCGTCTTTAATGAATATTTATTTTCCTATGTGACAGCAAACGCAGCGTCTTTGAGGAAACTGATCCACATTTTCACCATTTTCTGACATTTTAGAACCAAACAGCCAGAAAGTAATAAATAATAAAAAAATAATCATTACTTTGAGACCAGTCCACCTACAGTTGGACTCTTGTTGTGGTTTCTTTGTAGTGTGACGTGATTTGAGCCTAAATTAAACCAAAGCTGCGGTTAAATCTACCTTTTTGGCCTCCTCATGGCAACGACTAGCACTTAAAACTAATTTATTCATCCAGAAAACAATCAACAGATTAATCAACCAAGCTCTAGCATGAAGGCAGCAGCACTGAACCCAGTTTAATAAAATAAAATAATCAGAAAATAAAGCAACAAATGTACAATCAGTGATGAAAACTGGTTTCTTTTACATGTTTTTCTTCCTACGTGGCAAATCTCAGTCAGTTTTTTTCCATTGACTATCATTCATATAACTCATGGAGATGATTTGTTTGTTTGTTTTTCCTTTTAATAAGTTGATTATCTTTAAATCAGTTTGGAATCAACTACAGAATGAACAGATGGCCTGCGCTGACACCGTTAAATTCAATAAAATGACAGAAATAAGCAAAAAAATTCATATTGTTCAGGTTTTGTTGAAACTGTTTTCTAAAAGTGTTGATAATAAATGTTTTTTAATCTCAACTGAGGAGGACGAATCCAATGAAACATCCCTCATTAAAGCTGCATTTTCACTTCAAATATCTGTGAAGAAACTATTCAGTAAACGTCACTGGTATCTCTACAGCGTGGCAGCAGGAGGAGCGATGCTACGCCAACAATGGCTCGGTGAGTCAGCATGAACGAAACCCTGAAGATGGAGAATCATTTTTATCTTTCATACCTGAGCTCCTCCCGCTGTGACGCGCTGCAGCCTCTCATGCATGAAAAGAGGGTTTTTTTACAACTGGAAGACATAAAAACGAACATGAGATGCTTTCTTTTATTCTTACATCAACGTGTACAAGTTCACACCTGTGAGACGCCGGAAGCAGAGGAAGGTAGAAGGTGAGTAATACGTGGACTTGCTGCTCCAGAGCGTTTGTGTTTTTGTGATAATGTCAGCGGTGCTAACGGCAGCCGACAGCCGGAGCATTGCACCCCCTGCGATGGACGCCATCTGCCCCGCTGCTGCGTTCAAGAGCGAAGCGCTGCAGAAGAAACCCAGCGTGACCCTTCACCTCCTGCCATGAGCCTCCAACATACAGAAAAGTCCAAGATGGCGGTCCTAAAAGCTGCCTGATGTTGGAAAACCGGTCACAACATTTGCACTTTAACCCTCAGAGCAGCTTGTTCTTGCTTCCATCTCACTTCTCCCCGTATATATAAATACAACACAACATAAAGTCCTGCAGCTCTGTGGAAGCAGAACAACATGAAGGAGGAGGAGGAGAGAACTCAGAGACACAAATCCAAAAAGAAAAGGTGAATTTCTTTGATTATTAGTTTTGCAAAACGTCAAAAACCTAAATCAACACGTCCAACATGTTCCAAAGAGTCCACGAGTTCACAGAAACTGAAACCAGGGAGGCTTCACTCACTGAACATATTTAACTATTTACATCCTCACAGACTCTTCCTGCTGTTTTATCTTCGTTTCCTCATTTCGTTTTTCTTGTTTTGTGTCATTTTATGCCGCTTTTTTTTACAGCTTTGTCAATTTTGTTGTTGTTTTGTCCCCTCTTACTGTAGATATTAAACTACCTCC